CACACACACACACACACACACACACACACACTTTAGTGCCATCAGTTTTGCTTAGAGCTTTATGGCCTTGCATTAGTAAGTGTAGGCTGGTAGGCAAAGAAGTATTTTTAAAGATTGCTTTGTTTTATGCATTATCTTTTGGAAATAAAATCTTGGAATTCAGCTTAGTGTCCTGAGAGAACCAGTTCCTTTTTTTAAGAAACAAAATTTAATGCTGAGATCACAAATGATATAAATATCCAGAAGCCTCATGACTGTGCTCATTGGAGTCTCTTTGAGTCAGATCCATTATCTTGATGCACAAAATAACTCAGGGATCACTTTTTACCCTTTCAAAAGTAGAATCTCAGATGTCTGCAAAACAGTCGCTGAACAACACAAGTCAGTGTGTAGAGATCCTCCTGCTATCCTTAATCTTAATTTTTGGATTTGTTTTCTGTGTAAGGAAGGTTTTTGCCTCTCATTAGAAAAAGTCAGCTTTCTAATGCACATTCTCTGGAGAAGGTGCCAGACCTTGCAAAACAAAAAGGGAAATTCAGGACCCTGCCCAGCCTGAGCAACTTATCAGACATAGAAAAGGCCCCTTTGTTTGGTACTCTAGTGGTTTAGGAGAAGGGCCACGGATTTCAAAGGAATAAAAGGATTCTCCCCATCACGTCTGAGGCCCAGGAGAGGGCTGCTTCCTTGTGGCAACTCACTGTAATGCATCATTTAATATTTCAGTGCAGGCCCGCTAGGGATAGACAGACTGACCAATCCAAAATGATGGTACCTCCATCTACCTTCTGCTAAATTACTACTTCACATGTTTAGTTCATTATTCTTTTTTTTGGTACCGGAGATCGAACTCAGGACCTTATGCTTGTGAGGCAGGTGCCAGAACCACTGAGCTAAACCCCTGGCCCGGCTTCACATATTTAAAGAGGAAGTTTGATGGATAGACAGGCCTAGGAATCTTCATTCCCACCTCTTGGGAGCGATGATGGTGCCATTGTTACAACCATTTGCTATTTGAAGCTCAGGTATAGGAAGCATTTAATGAACCCTGGCATTTAGGAAATTGTTTGGGGTAAAATCATAGTAAAAGAAAAAAATTTTTAAACGAAAAGATGAGATTTTCCCTTTTCTGTTAAATCTGCCATTGGTGTTTGAAGGTGCTCAGAGAATTCTGTTTGTGGGAATTTGGGAAGGACAAATGGTGAGTGCACTAGAGAATTAAGACAAATGATAATTGAAAGAGATGACAAAAGCTAGTGATTTCTATGGGGAAATAATCACAAACTGCTGTCAGGCCGATTCCAATAAGAACTTGCTTTATGTGAAATGTTTTTTAAACAGCTCAATCAAAGCATTAAGCCAGAGCATTTCTCAGGGCATCTATCTGCTGAGTGTTCCATTACATTTCCATCTAAGACTCCTCAAGTTGAGAAATACTGCAAGAAAGATCCTATTTGTGGCTTTGTAAGGTAATTCTATAGTTCCACCATACTGTTTCATCATCTGGATTCACAATTACTGATCTGTGAAGTTGCCTTTGTGTGTTATCCCAGGTTAAATGCAAGTACTCTGTTTAAAGTGAATCTTCAATGATGCTAGATGTGCTTTTGGACTTCTAGAATCAAGGAAGATTTCCGATGATCGGCATTTTTCCAGCATTTTTTATGGATTAATACTCAAGGCTCTGTCTCTTTCTCTCTCCACTGTACCCTATAAAGATTTCTGTCAGAGTCCATACAGTTCGTTGCATTTATTGGTTGACACAGTTGTGTCATATTAAATTGTAAAACAGAGCCTAGCATGAAGCTCAGATGCCCACTGATGAATAACTTCTTGGTCAAACCTCACTACCTCATTCCAAAGAATGCTGCCCCAGACACCTTTCTCTTGCCCCTCAGAGTCCTGTTTCCACCCTTTTCCACCCGTTGTGACCCTGGGAGGCTGACTGCATGGGCCAATCACAGCTACCTCTTCTCTGCCTTCCCTTTGGGTTAGGCCAAAAGAAGGCAGGAGGTTGAATAGGAAGACAGTCTGGAGTCTGAGTTTCTCCATATCACTTCCTGGGCTCCTCAAGGCTCTCTGTTATTACCAGCCTCAGGTAATATTGCATTATCCCTTATCAGTTTCCTCAAACCCTGCCCACGCCTTTGTAAGATTCGTTCCAATAGCTAGTCTGAAGTTTCCCCCATTATCCTGCTGGGACTCTGACTGATATTTGCCCCAGTCATCCAGATGACAAAGTTGGTTTTAACCGAGGTATCACAGTCTGTCTAGCCTTGTACCATCCTAAGAAAGCACTCTCTTCTTCTAGGCCAGCGGGCCTCCAAATTAGAATCAGTTGTATCAGGGGTCAGCAAACTACAACTTGTGGGCCAAATCCAGCCTGTGGCCTGTTTTTGTAAATGGAGCATTATTGGAGCGCAGCCACCACCATTTATTTACTTACTGTCTGTGTCTGTTTTGATCTATAACAGGAGGTGAAGGATTGCAACAGAATCCGTATGGCCTGCAATGTCTAAAATATTTGCTATTTCACCCATGATAGAACCCTGACTTAGAGGAAAACCATGCATGTGAACTTCATCATTTTCATGGAGAGGCTCCTGGGACAGATGCTGGGGCACTTGTTAGCCAACTAATGGGACAACTATTGGGAAGTTTCAGACCCCAGGCCTGCCAGGCTCTTGTGGACCTTGTGTTGCTGTGCTGACGCTATGGAGACCTGGGAAGACACTATGTCCCTTTGACATGGAGAAAATGTGACTGAGCAAAACAAAAAGGCATTTATGTTTAAATGTGTCTATAGTTTGTCATTGCAGAAGTAAATAGTGACCTAGAAAAGAATGACTCTCCCAAATTTTGACACATTTCTTTATCAAAGTTATTTTGTACATAGCTGGCCCTCTTATCCCTCAATGATATCCCCTGGCCCTCTTATCCCCATGATGCCTTCTTAGGAGAGTCCAAGTTTTATTCAGCCTTGTGTTTCCCAGGGCTGGGCACAGAGTAGCTAATGGTCAATAAATATAGCTTGGCAAAAATGATAATCCACAGCTAACTCAGAGATGGCAAAAGAAATATGGGAGTGGAGGCCTTCCCTTGGAAGATGTATTAGCTACTGTCCTCTCTTTCACTTGAGTCTCTGCCTGCTCAACCTTCACAGGGGAAGAACAGCTATAAGACAGACTGTCCTCCCAGCAAAGTACACCCCAAGGAAGGCTGGCGACAGAATTTGCAGGGGCCCCTGTAAAGTGAAAATACAGGACGTCCAGTTCAAAATTATTGAGAATTTCAAGGCCTTCCCTGCTAAGCCTGCACTGGCAGCACACCTGGGAAGCCAGCCCTGCCCATGAACCCCAAGAAAGGTAGCCTGCAAGAGGCCAGGGATTTGCTTCTAGTCCAGAGAGGCCATGTGGTGCTTAGGATGGCAAGGGTGCACAGGCTGCTGGGATGCAGACACGGGGCTCTGAACTCTGCAAAGATAAGTGTCCAGTGCTGCCTAAACTGGGACAACACTTTGCCACATCCACAGGGTTTGCACTCACCTCAGACCTTCACATGATCCCTCTTCCTTTTCTCCATGTTTTTAGTTTAGCTCTGAGTCACCCAAGCCACCCCATCTAAGGGCAGTCAACCTGATTTGTACTAATGCATCTCATGGGAAGCCTGTGTAGAAGTTTCTTTTTAGGGTGACAGTTCCTGCCATAGTACCTGCCTGGAAAACAATGTATATGCACAAATTTTCCTCTTGTTCTCAGAACCCTCCTTTGGTTCCATTACCTTTAAATGGGCACTCGGGGGCCCATCCTGACCATTCTGCAGGAACCCCAGGGTTTTCCCTAACACTAGATATTTGGCCTACCAACTTCTCCTGCTCCCTCAGCCTTTCCCCACCCTGTAGGCGGAGGTGTCCCTTCCCCTTGGAATCACAGCAAACCTCCTGCAGGTCTCAGGTGGTGACAGCTGTAGTAAGGAGGTCTAGCAATGACTTCCTGAATAGTGCTTTCTTTTGAAATTGGAGGAGTTCCCATTTTGCTTCTTCAGCACTTCATCTGCAGACCCTTGCTGCAAAAGGGGGCTCAGGGGCTCATCCCTAACCAGTGGGTTTGTGGGAGTGCCTCGTCCTCCGCTGAAAGATGGGGTTTTCCTCACAGTGCTAGAAAGCTACCCTCACCAGGGCAAGTGGTGACAGCTCCCAGGTCCTTGCTCCCACATACACAGCTCAGCAGCTAGGTGTTATTGCCCCACAACAGGTCTGAGTATTATTTCCCCACAAAGATGAGACTCCAGCACTGTGGTGCTACAGACACCAAAATTGGTCCTTAGAGAAGCACATACTCCTGAAGCTCAAAGCTTAGGAAACTGCAGCAGACAAGAGACTTTCCCCTCCCCATGTATCATAAAGCCACAGTAAAGGGACTGTGATGACTTGATGGGGTCAAGTGGAGTTTGCCTTTGATCGAAGCACCAAGTTAGACAGTCCTGAGGGTCATTGCTATCTCCTGCTTCACTTGTGCCCTGGGCTTTCTCAGGCCTTATTTGCCCCCCTGTGACCCGTGTACTTTTAATGACAGCAGCTCCAAGAGCACTCCTCGCTGCCTCTGTGCATATGTGCCTGCCTTGGTGACAACGAAGGCAACCTCGGCCCTGTGTGATACTCTCCCCAGCCTGGCCAGCTCCTCATTCCTTACGTGCTGCCTGTGTTCTCTTCTCTCACAGGGTTCCCGGTGGCAAATACAGCTCCAGCCATGGGCAGGCCCTGCTCAATCTTTGGATGAAGAAGCCTGGAGATTCCTGAGATATATCAGCACCACCCAGGTTGTGTTTCAGGCTCAAATGGGTTTGGAAACAGTGTAAAAGGCACTGATTACCACTTAGAAAGAAGGGTTTGTCTGTGAGGGGCGGGGAGGTTCTGACAGGGTCGCGATAGGGACCTGGTTTCCGAGGTATTACTGCTTAAATTTATGCATTCCCCTAGAGGCGGATACGACACTTCCCTTTGCTAGGGAATTTTCTTCCTTCCAGGAGTCTCATCAACCTGAAATGTTCTCATGATTCATGCCAAAGTGTTTTAAAGATCCGCTTTAGGAAATTGCTTTGGAAAACCATTTGAAGCAACAGATTCATCCCTGTGAGTAGGCAGTCAAGTGTGTCACAAAACTGGCATCATCTGCAGGCTCAAGCTTCATTCTGTATTTGGAGGCATTCACCTTCTTGCTTTTCTGCCACAGACGCTTGGCAGCCAGGGAAACGTTGGGCAAGAGAGCAGAGGACACTTTGAGGCAGAACGATGAGAAGTCAATGAATCCAAAGGCTCCCTCTCCTCGGAGCACTTTAAATCAATCCTGAGCCAAGGCGGCCTTGATTAGTGACTTAACACACAGTGGCAGCTCCTGCCCAACTCACCTCGAAGTCAGTGCCCCGAGCAGCCAGGGAGCCCATCCATTAAAGGAGTCTGTGGCTCTTGACACGTTAATCAGAAAGTTCCACACTCAAGTTGCCTGATCCTGGGGAAAAGGCAGATGGAGGAGGAGACCTAGGCCTGAGACCTACTTAGCTATGACCTGAGAGATGCTGGTAAATTAAGAACTAGGACTGCTTGAGAGCTGATCACAGGACCATTCAAGATACTGCCTTGTAGACCTTGCCTGACCTAAGGGGTCCTGCCTTCAGCCTACTGGCTCTCAGCACCCTTCTCCTGAACCTTGCTGGCAATGAAATTCTTTTTCATCGTAGGAGAGACTGCATTTTTAGGTCTCTAGGAAGCTAGCTTAGGTGTAAAAGAAAGTTCCACATCTCATATAATACAGTCAGACAATCATAGGGATTTTAATACTTGTCACCCAAACGTAGAATTAAAAGCTTGTGGAATTAATCATGGGTGCTGGGATGATAAATTGGTCCTTGTGCTTTTCATTTTATTTTGCTGCCGCAAGATAATTGGGTGGATTTATACGGACTTAATTAAAATATTGAAATTTTAATTTTATCATTTGGCTTTTCACAAAGGATGGGAAGCTATGACTTTTAAAAACTCTTTGAGACCCTAGAGAAAAATGAGAGGTGTTAAATTTGTACACTGAATTTGCGAATTATAGGCTCTGCCTTCCAAAATTAATTTACTGAGTGCAAGATTTCAAATTTCATTTTATATGTATTTGGGTTAATGTTATATAACTTACATGAGGCATATTTTGATCTTGAGACATGCCATGGTCATTTCAGATTCCTCTTGGACCTTTCCCATGAGCCCTGGGCTGAGAGGAGAAAAATTCTTTAAAAAACTGAAGTATCTTCTGATGTGATATAGTCTGATGTTGTAACCTCAGGCAATTTACTTTATTTCTTTGGCTCTCACTATTCTGATTTTGAAAAGGAAGAGATTGGATCAGATTATTTCTGATGTTTCTCTTAGTTCTGTGATCTTATGTGTAGAGAGTGTGATAGAATTATTAATAACAATGTATTTTTGAGCACCTACAACATGACAGGAACTGTGGTAGATCTTGGGGATACAGCCTTTGCCCTCAAGAAGCTAGCAAATGAGTTGTAAAGGCAGATAAATGATGCATAATCATTATTCAGCTTGGTGAGTGCAATAATAGAGGTTTTAGTTGTTGAAGCCCTAGGATAGAAAGAGCCCCTTTACTCCCCTTAATTTTTGTGTGGGCTTTTTGGGGGGATGTAGGACCCTAATTAATACAAAGACTAATAAATAAGAGAAAAGTATAAAAGTTTTATTAAATTTACATGTACATGGGATCTTCAACAAGAAAATGAGAGCCAAAGAAATGACTAAGGCATGATGTTTTATATCTTTTAGGCAAAAAACAATAAACTTGTGAAGAAATGACAGGAAAAATGGATCTCTGGACTGGGGCAGTAAATTTAGGGGTCAAGAGATATCGTTGGGGGGAGGGTATGTAAAAGCTAGTCAAAGATCAAGGTTACTTTAACGAGTTTATTTATTCAGTTTCTTTGCAGCCCCAGTTACCAGTCTCTGGTGATTAAGATTATTTTCCAGCCTTGAAATGGGAAGGACATTCCTCCCAAAAGAATTTTTATAGCTTGCTGAAGGTAGGAAAAGATAGGCCAGATGTCCCTTTCTGAAGTTTCAGTTCCTCAAATGATTTCAGCTTGAAAAAAATCAATGTCCCGGTTTGATGTATTTTGAGATGGCACATCTTAAATTCTTTCAAAGGTCACTAGAAGGAGTCTTGTCCTGCAGAAAGTGAGATAAAGTTCCAGACCTCACAGTGGTTTTGTAATCAGGAGCCATCTTATCCAGGTTAAGTCTTGTGTTTTGATGCACTTCCAGCTCAGTAGGAGGCCAGCAGGTGGGAGCCATCACAGATGACACTAGGTGGTTCTTTATCAGAATCTTTTACTAACCATTGCACCCTCCCTCTCTGCGTAGTGCAGAGCTTTTTGGCTGCTCTTGTGGCTTATGCCTCATTTAGAACTCATCCTGACAATGGAAGCCTGTAAAACTGGCAGAATATGAGAGTCACTGTTGCTTAAAATTTTCACAGTTAGCAGTGGTGAGTCATAATGTACTAGGAAAAAAAAAATTAAACCTTTGAAAGTACTAAAGTGAATTCCACCCCCATCCTCTTAAGTTGATTTAAAAAAAAAAATAAAGTTCTCCACAATGTGTGTTCAAACTTGTACCGCAAGGTCCAGCATTTGATTTTTTCATGCATCAGTGCAGTGGGAATTTTTTGAGCACCTGTTCTGTGGCTGCCACTGTGCTGTGCTCTGGGATATCAAACCTGAATAAATATCCTCCTCCCCCTAAATAGCTGGAGTGCAAGGGTGTCATGTGTCCTCTGACAGAGGGAGACGGAGGGCAGGGAAGGTGCTCTTGGTTGAGGGAGATTGGGCATAGCTTGGCCAGGGGCATGCTCTGCCTGGACTGCTGCACTGCGGGCACCCTGGAGGCATGTTTGGGCTCTGCATTTTCAGTGAAACAGCAGAGGTTATGGTGTGTGGGTAGTGTATGCAGATCATCAAGTTTAGTTTAGTTAGGTATATATATTTTTAACGTGAAAAAACATGATTGCAAGACAAGGTTCTGTAGGCAGTGATATACTGTCTGCTGCTATCAAGAAATGGTTAAATCATAAACACAGTGCTCTGTTCTGCAAAAACTTTTCAGATCCAGCTTTTTATGGCAACCAACCCCCAAACCATATGCTTCCAGGAAGTAAGCCTTGCAGTACAAAATCAATCTAAGCAACAGTGGCTGTTTTGGGTATATATTAAAAAAAAATAGGTTTTGAAGCCTGTTTTTCTATTATATATCTGTCTAATTATCTACCCATCTATCTATAAAAATAATCTAAGAACTCAGGCTCTGGAGGTTCAGACTATAACTTTACACCATTATAACAAGGGCATCTATTATGTTTGCACTCTCTCTGACACACAGACACACACGGACGCACACACATATCCCAGGACAAAAACAACAAAAATACAATTCTGTCCTTGAATGTTTCAAAATAGCGGAACAGTTGGTCATTGCAGTAATTACTGCCAAAAATCCCTAAATTTTTTGTTTGTTTGTTTGTTTGTTTTTGGTACTGGGGATTGAACTCAGGACCTTGAGCTTGCGAGGCAGGCAGCAGCATAAAAATCCCTAAATTTTAAGGACTTCTTTTGTTTCATTCTACTTATGGATTGGCAGACATGCTATTTAAGCTTCTGGGATGCAAAATGAAATGAAAATAAATTAGATCCATTTAAGCTAAATAACTAAAAATAATTTTAGAAAACATTTTTCTTTCCTGGAGTCTACATTCCTTTGTCTAGGTCTAATTTAGTTTACGTGGCTAAAGTTACAAGGGAGAGTTAGGCCGACAGGGAGCATAATTACTGGAGTTGGAGCTTAGCTCAGAGTTGCTGCCCTCACTTACTTTGCTTGCAAGAAGGTTTATTGAAGCCCTGGCCATAAATCTTAACTAGAAAGTTTGAAAAACCTAAATATTTAATTAATTTTAGGAGCAGAATTTTATGGAGGATTCCTTGTTATTTTGAAAAGCGAACATCTGTCAGTGAGATGGTTAATAAATGGTTAAAACTGTATAGCACCTATGGTTTTATTTCTGAGTTAAGGGAGGAAAGGGGAACATTATTAGAGAAACTGCATAGAAAAGAATGTTTCTGTAATAGGGAGATGTCTGTGCAAGATAAAATCATTGAATAAGAAGAAATGCTTAATTAGACAAAGCATTATCTTTAATAGAATAAAACCATAGCTACTGATGCTGGCAAAGGAAGAGAAAATAGATTTCAAAATCCTGACTCTGGCCCTTCATACCTGATTTCTGGAGGCTTCTGGCTAATGTCCCAACCACTTGGGTCCTTCGCTGGGGATGAGGTCAGAGCAGGTGATGCTTTCAGTTGAAAGCTCTGACCCAAGTATTTCTTCTTCCCTTAATTCACAAAGGCACAAGTGAGACCAGTTTGGAACATTTCCCTGGGCTTTATAAAAGGCCAAGCCCTCTAGTGAACTTTCAGGACCATCTGTGTAAGATTTACCTGGGAAAGCTTCTTAGAATGCATGTTCCCAGGTGTTAGTCTCAAAGATTCTGATTTTGCAGATACGGAGTGTAAGCCAGGAACGTGCACTTTTAGGTATCTCCCAAGTGATTCTGATACAGGTAAGATCATACCTTAAACACTGAGTAAGAGGCTAGAGCTAGATTTTGGTGATATCAGAAGGAAAACATGAGTGAAGGACCTGTTAAGCATATATATCCTATCTCACTTTTGGAGGTTCTTGGTGGATAAGTGCTCACCAAGAGCAATGGCAGTGGGAATCAGCACACAGCTTTTTAATAAGAACATTCCAGAAAACTGCCTTTGAGCAAATGGCTCTAGTTTATGAGGTCCAGAAATGCCGCGAGGCCCACAGGACTTTCTGGACCAGCCAGCTCCCTACTGGAGACAGGGCACTGAGAAGAGTGCTAACAAATGTGCCCATCTGTCCACTAGTAGGTCAGGGCCAAATGAACTCAATTACAGTAGCAACTCTAATTACGGTAGCAACTTCCCCTCCCTTGGGTGGATGGGTGGGGAAGATCTAGAGAGGTAGAGCATAACTTCCATTTCTTAATAGGGAAATAGTAGAAGATGAGCTATACAAATTAACATGTTGACGCACCCAGTTGATAAATGTATGTCTGTAGTAGTTGCTTGAGAGAAAATTCAATTCTATTGTCTACTATCATTTTTCTCCTTCAATAGTGGTTGGAGATAGAGAGGTATAAAGATACTGGGTTGAAGAAAAAGTATATCTAGCCTTTTCTGTGTTTTAACTTTCCTCTGAAATGTCCCAATCCTTGCAGAAGATTCTCACTATGGCTGATCAGTACTGTCAGGACAGTCTTGCTGGGCTAGCCCTAGGTTATAGCGATAGTAATGCAGATATTATACTAGTTGAAAAGCTCTATGCACTTCTTAGAATAAAACTTTGGAAAATCAGGTAAATAAACAGATCATGCAATTCTAGAATATCTTGTCAAGAAGAAAATCCTTGCTGTTATTTTTTCCAATGAATTTAAGCAAAACTCAAAACATCTTTTGCGTCTGAAGTGGTGCTTCATGTCATGGGACATTGTGAATACTGTGAGAGTTTGGAGGGATGAGGAGGTGGATACTGGTACTCAGCAAGGGAAATATCTTGGCCACAGACTGACTTTCTTCCATTCCAACAGCTTCAGCCATGCAAACTGCACAGGTCTCAAGCACAAATCAGCATCCTTTGTAAAGTACGTTTGTTTAATGTGCACTTGGTATTAGAGACTTATTTCTGCTTGACTTAGACTTACACTCCCTTGGCTTTCTTTTTTTTCTTTTTTTGTGCCAGGGATCGAACTCGGGACGTTGCACTTGCAAGGCAGGCAGCAGAAACACTGAGCTAAATCCCCAGCCCCTCCCTTGGTTTTCTTACCTAATTTTGATGGATGAGTTAAAAGTGCCTTGGTTAGCTTCTAAAAGCTTCCTGTCTGGGACTCTTGCCCTTCTTTCCCAGGAGGAAGCTCATTAAAGCAGTTTCTTGAGAAAAATACCATCTTATCAGCAGGGACTGCCTCATAATTTCACTTAACTCTTGCTCAGCTGTCTACCTTGGGTAACACATGCCATCTTTGTGACTTTATGGCCCACCTATCTGCCTGAACTAAGGGAGAGATAACCTTGTGAGCATGCTTCTGAGATCTGTGCCTGTAGTTGTAACAACATCTTCCACTGGGGTTACTGTACTGTCCAGTGTGTCTGGGTGCCTTCTTGGTCTGAGCCTCTCTGTCATGTCTGTTCCTCCTCCCAGACTAACACACCTCTGCAGAGCCTCTCCCTCCCATCTCTGCTCCTGATCTGCTGTCTTGGCAAATGGCTATAGCAGTTCATCACTTCCCTTCAAACCTGCACTGAGTCTTCATGAAGTTACTTCTTATCTGGTATGTAAGTGAAGTTTCTCCGAACATTTTGCAGCAGTCTTGTGATTCCTCAGGGAGCGGAGTAGTTAGCAGTGGAAGACATAACTCTCCTATTAAGGCTTTCAGGGACCAGGGAAGCGGTAAGTCTCTACCTGCCATTCATCATCCAGCATTTTAAATTATTCATATTGATTTCCAATTTCCACAGATTGCATGCAATCACATGAGCACAGACAGCCTGGCTACCCACTCCAGCCCTGCAAACAAGCCCTGGTTGGTGTGTCTTGATGACAGGTTTGGCTTAGCTCATCAAATCCGCAGCAAGCAGTGCCGCCTCTACTCTTTAGGGTATGTACAAACCCCACCCACTCCTGCAGGCAGGCACAGTTTTCCCAAAGTTATGACTGGTTGCACTGTGTGCAGGTGCTCTGCCTTGACTCAGGCCATGTTTCAGATTGCTGTGTTGTGCAGCTGCAGGTGGGGCAGATCACCCAGTCACCTTGACCAGAGCCAGTTTTCCTGTATTCTTTTTTTTTTTTTTTTAACCAGGGATCAAACTCAGGACCTTGCACTTTCGAGGCAGGTGTGGTGCCACTGAGCTAAATCCCTGACCCACTTTTTCTCTATTCTGCTGCGAATAAGTTGGTATTGGAAGCTTCACTTCTCAGCATGACAGAGATCCTCTTGGTGAAACCAATGATTTTCAGCCAGAATCAGAGCACCCTTATTATAAAGAGAGAGAAGATCATTAATGAGTACAGGTGGAAAAGGGAGAGTATATTCAACACTTTGTACACAGTGTTGAGTGACCCACTGTTGGGGTTTTTATGTTTTGTACAATGATAAATCTACATATGGTTTTGTACTTTAAAAAGAAATTAAAAGTTGTTCTCATGATAACTGTGTAATTTTTTCAAAACTGAGAAAAGTTAATATGCATTTACTAAAATGACCTAGATATATAAATGGAATTAGAGACTTTTTAAATAAAAGATGAATAGTATTTCACCAAATAAATCAGTGTTTTTATAAACAGTCCTGAACTTACAAATGATATATGTCTCAAAAAAAAGCAGGAGGGAATTATTTCTGCTGGGGACACCCTGTTCCATCAACTCTCTGTAGGAGGTAGGTAGGTTCTTGGGCTAAACTGCCAAGTCCTTTTCAAACAGCACTGAGGACTCTAACAGATATCACATACCTGCTCCTCATCTATGGGTTTCATTGCCTCTTCTTTCAGTTTACATTCTGCCAGCTGTCAGCCAGAATCCCACCATCGGCATTAGGGGCAGACAGCTGGGGATATGGAGTCCTCCCCGCAGGTGGGGAAGCAGAGAGATCACAGTTGCCCTCAAGCTGTAACGAACAAGAATTGCCAGTTCTTATGAATTAAAGAACGTAAGATTTAAAGAAGAGTTTATGGATAATGGAAACATCCTTCCATGGGTTAAATGAAGGTATACATACCAATGATGCCTATCTGTGTGGCTTGGCATACAGGAGGCATGCCTGCTATGGAAAGGCTTGTTTGAGGGGAGGCTTGCATTAGATGATGAGCTGCTTAGCCAGTTGGTTAGGACTGGGCTCTTTTCCTGGGAGTCCACTAGCTGAGCCTCAAGAGTGTAGGAAGAATGGGAAGTCATGACAGCATTATTGTATTCAAACAGCATGAAAGTAGGCCAGAAAATAATTGCATAGTACCAATGTAAACTGGAGATCTCTAGTTTGGTCCTTTCTCTTGCTCTGAACTGTTTTATATTTTACTTCACATTTTATACCCTGGAACAATTTCATTTAAATTATAACTGAATAAAGTAAAATAAAACCTGGAGAGTTGTTTTGGGAGAAATTTTTTCAAATTCCTTTTTCTTTCCTTATATTTCAGAGCTGTTAGATAAAATACCTCTATAGCAGGATTTTAGATTATTACATGAAAAAGGCAATAAGGCAGTTTCTTTCTTTTAAATGTTTACCATTCAGAAATCAGCTTTGTAAGGGACACATGAGAACACTTGGATTCCACTGAGGAAAGAAATAAATAGATTATAAGTGTTAATATCTGATGAAAACATAAAAGTGCCTAATTGAAAACTGAAAACTAAAGAAAATATTTTTGGTGATTTAAAAAGGTGGCTTTGGATTGTGGGTGGTGATGCTGATTGCATTGTGACTTAGATCGAGATCCAGACAAGCTTCCTTGCTCCGGCAAATTGCATGCAGGAAGAACACGGAGCTCAGCTGATGCTGGAAGACTCAGACTAGCAGTGCTGCTCATGAAATGAAGAGCAGCAAAGGGAATGCACCCTAGACTCCAGCACCTAGGAGTGTTGGGGTGCATGGCAGATGGGGAGGGCAGGTGGTGAGTCATATGGGTGCTACATACAGGCAGTCTGTGCCCCACGCCCCAGGGCTTTGGCAGCCACAAGACCATGCTGCTGCGATAACCAGAATTCCCAGGCAAACCAAAGATGTAGCCACAGTGGGGGCGGTAACCTTCCCAGAATGAGGACACAAGTGTTGGAAGACAAAGGCCAATGGCCTTACATCTGACCTACCTCTTTTCCTCCAGCTCAAGAGCTGGTATCACTTGTGCCATTCCTCTGATGACTGAACTTTCCTTATTAGGAGTCAAAGCTTTTTATTGCACAGTCAGTGTAAAGGATTGTTTGTCTGACACAATGCACTCTGTGATGTTCTGATGCAAATTAAAATTCAGCCCTTAGGAGTTTTGAAATGGGGTGGGATGGACCAGTGAAGACAGGGCAAAGTACTGAAAAGAAAAGTAATTTAACAGAGAAGAAGAAAGAGACAGATAGCGAGAGGCTGTGGGTTTAGAGGTTAATATCTTGTACTTCAACTTCAGTCAGGGTCTTCCCTGCAGGTTGTCCTTTGTAGATAGTGGAGGGAGGGGAGATGTCTGAGCAGGGGTCAGGAAGGCGGGGTTGATAAATGGAAGAGGAGAATAGCACCTCTTTTTCTTTTCACAAAGGTAAACATTCTTCACTTTAGTTCTATGAGAAGTTGTAGTTTTTAGCTTCAAAACTGAGATTCTTAGTGTAAGACACAAGATTTCACCAGGGACAAAATGTTGGCAACAAGAGCCAATATTTTACACTGAAATCCTGGAACTTTTGGTGAGCATTTCAAGAAGGAACAACCTTTAGAGTCAAGTATTTTTGTTTTAATTAAGAAGGAAGAAGTGATATTGGTGTAGTATATGCTATATATACTAAATTACATGGGAGAATCAGAATATTGTAGACCCCAAGGTCCCTTTTTAGACATTATTTTCCTAATCATCTCTCCATGAACTTTTAATATCATAGCTGTAGTATTATCTCTTTATGCAATACTGGTGTTTTATATGTAAAGAGACAAATATGTAAAGGACGAAGTACTGAAACTCCCAGGGAAAATATTAACTATCTTACCTCTTCCAACCCCTCTCCCTTCAATGATGAGGGTTTAAAAGTTTTCTTATATCCACTTTCGGCTTATTTTATATATTTTAGCTTTGCAAACAGCTTTATTGAGTTATAGTTCACATATTTAAAGTATTGAACTCAATGGCTTCTAGTTTCTATAATTTAAAACATTTTCATCATCCCCCAAAAGAAGCCCTGTACCTAATAGTAGCTACTCCCAATTTTCCTCCAACTTTCACCTCCCTACCTCTGAGCTCTCCAGCCTTAAGCACCTGCCACTCTATTTTCTGTCCATATTGATTCACATATTTTAGACATTTCATATAAATAAAATCCTGTAATATGTAGTCTTTTGTGACTATTTTCTTTCATTTAGAATAATGTTTTCAAGATTCATCCACATTATAGCACATATCAGCAGTCCATTCCTTTTTATGTTTGAATAATATCCCATTATATAGATAAACCACATTCTGTTTATCCACTCATCAGTTGGGTTGTTTCCACTTTTAACTATTATGAATGTTCAGATGAACAGTCATGTAGTTTATGAGTGGACATATGTTCTCATTTAGCTTGCGTATGTACCATTTTACCTTCATCTATGACCTACCATTCACCTATGAGGGTTCTAATTTCTCCATGTTTTTACCAAAACTTAATTATTATTGGACTTTTCAGTTGTAGCCATCCTAGTGAATGTAAAGGGCTATCCCACTGTGGTTTTGATTTGTGTTTCCCCACTGACAAATGATATTGAGCATGTTTTCATGAACTTAGGGTCTGAGTTATGACCCCACCTAGGGAACATAAAAGCCACTCACCTTAATACTCTCAAGGATGCTTTTAAAAGAGTAACCAAAGACCTAACATAGTCCCACAATCCATATCTTTTATCCTTCAGTAGTACGAAAGGGCATATGATTGATTTCCAGCACCATCCACAACTAGTGAAAAACACTTTTGTACAACTTGCAAAAGAAGCAGGCTTCCCTCAAGAACTCCAACTGCAATCTCTTAGAAAATCATCATTATGGTCATTATGATGTAAACAGCATCTCCTAGAGTTGTTCAGTGTACAACCCACACAACTGCATGCCGGGATCCCGATTATTTTTCTCTAAGCCATCAGAGAAGGAGAGTCAAAGTGGCCACTTTATTATTCTATTGCCTTTGGAAATTTAGCCCTGTAAAATTCCTGCTTTCTATTTCTTCAGGAGCTCTTAGATTCTATGATCTTCCTATGTTGAAAAGTCACTGTGACCTCAAACCTCAGCATTAATGTATGTAGAATAATATTTTAAACACATGTTACACAATTCTGTCTCCCCCATAGGGAGGCAGAGGTTGCAGTCTCACTTCAAAGGCTTATATTTTTGAATATAGATTGCAACTGCTCAACTCTTTCATAAGTGGATTGTATTTGGAACTGCTAATTGTCCCCTAATATCCATTCTCCTGTCCTTCCTCTGGTAACAGAATTCTTGAGGTTGGCAGGGCACATGGCCACCCAACAGGTGGCTGTATTTCTTGGCCTTCCTTGTAGCACTAAGTAGCCGCATATAAGTGGAAGTGCTGTGTACAGCTTTCAGGCTGTGACTCCAGAGGAAAAGGTGTGACCATTGCTTCCCCTTCTACTGGTCCTGATGACTGGAAACAGATAGGATGGCTGACAATAGAACAGTTGTCTTAGCCCTTAATATGGAAGCCATATGATCTGTTCTTCTTGGTTCATGGAATAAACATTAAACAAAATACTTCTGTCCAGTAAAATTTTCTACAGTGAATTTTCCAGCTAAATAACAACATAAAATGGTTTCTTCATGAACTAAGTACATTCTTGTTATAAATAATAGTTGTCAATATAGTTATGTGTTTAAAGCACTTCATTACTGCTTTGTGAGCTTCCTCAGATCAAGGACCACATTTAATTTATCTGTTTTTTCCCTGTGTCCTGTATGGTTCTTTGCACATATCAAGTATTCTATAAATATGTGTTTATATACATGAACAAATGAGTGAAATGTAGCCTACCACATGCTGTTTGGACACTGTACAGTATATTATGGAAATTTCAGATCTTAGCTATAATTTTCTTTCACTTAGGGCAGCATTCTTTGGGTCTGTGTATCATTATTTCTTTCCCCAGCACTAAGGATTCAGAAATGAGCAAGGGAGACACTGACTCCTGGTTTTACTATTTTGGGCTGTATTTTACGACACCTTTGTATATTCCATTTGTTCTTCACCTTACTTTTTGTAAGTGCTACAGTCGACTAATTTAAACTAAGCCTGAAGAAGTACCATTTCAAGTAAGTGAAAGTAAGAATTAAGAACACTAATTAAATAAATATAATATATTACTTTCCAGTACAGTACATACTTATATATTAAGATTAAATGGATTAAGTAAAAATAACATAAGTTAAGGTAAAAATTACAAATTACAAATAGTTCTATGTTATTAATTTACATACATTATATTCAATAATCTCCACTATTTAATGATTAACTTATATGTGTATATGTGTACTTATGGTATTTTATAAAAGAAAATACTTGTGTATATCTGGAAAATGTCTGAAAAAGGTACACAAAAAATTACCAATCATGTTAATCTCTGGAAATTAGCAGCTAAGTTTCTAGTGGTAGGAAACTTATACTTTTCAGTTTATATACTTTTTATAATTAGATTTTTTGTGTATTTGTAGTTTTTTTAATTTTAAAAAGATAATTTAAATTGGAAACATATCAATATATAATAAAATACCTTGCCAAAATGATTAGTTACAAAATGGTATGGAGTTAATTTAATTCTTATGATTTTTTTTTTTTGGAATGGGGGATCGAACTCTCCAGACCTTGCGCTTGCCAGGCAGGTGGTGGTACCACTGAGCTAAAATCCCTGGCTCTAATTCTTATGATTTTTAAAGGTCTTGATTAAATACATAAATGTACTTTTGAGTAGAAAATTCTTGAAAAAATTCTGAAAATTCACTGAGGAAGAAAGTATGTACATTTTTTCTCTAGGCAGTTCATAAATTATATATGTTATAGGGCCGGGGATTTAGCTCAGTGGTTCTGCTACCTGCCTCTCAAGTACAAGGTCCCGAGTTGGATCCCCGGTACCAAAAAAAAAGAAAAAAATTATATATGTTATATATATTGTATTATATATAAGTAAAAATTGTACTTAATGAGTAGTTTTTGACTTAATGTTGTGGATTGTTTTGTTTCTCGGTTTTTCTTTTTTTTTCTTTTTTTTTTTTTTTGGTACCGGGGATTGAACCAGGACCTCGCGCTTGCCAGGCAGGTGCAGCACCACTAAGCTACATCCCAGGCCCTGACTTAATGTTGTCTTAGTGAAGCTAATGAACTATCTTTTCCTATCACATGACCTATGTTAACACGTTTTTGCTCTTCTAACTTTTAATGAAGTTAACGAAATGAAAAAGCCTTTGTGATAGGTGACTTCAATAACATTCTATCTATAAAGATATAAATCTGTGTACTAAAAATGCTGTGTAGTTTTAGCTGAAAGTCAGATTTACATCAACTACCAGGTATATCAGATAGCTACTGCTTTGTATCAAATCACTCTGTGGCTTAAAACCCCCATTATTTATTATGTATTATGGTGTCTGCAGGCCAGCTTGGCTTCAACTGATCTAGGCTGGGCTCAACTGGGATACTTTATTTCAAGATAAGGTGGCCAAAGCAGTTCTGTTTCTTATGGAAGACCCATTGACTAGCTGGGATTGCCTCCTGCTCCTTATTGTTCTTATTTTCATGACACCAACAAGCTGTCTTGGGCACATTTTTATTATGATTCTATCGCCAGACAATGAACAGAAGCACTCAAGGCCTCGGATAAGGGCTGGCATCCTGTGACTTCCTTCTAGAAGAGAATGTCACATGACCAAGTCAAAAAAAATAAGGGGTAGGAAGGACACTCCCTCACAAACAGCATGGCAGTAGTGTGGATGAAAATAGGGTGAAGAATTAGGGCCAATGAGTCAATCTGCCACAGCAGGTTAGATATTGGAAAAATTGAGAGGAAATGGGTAGAGATTACAATGGCCTGAATTGTGTGGACTCAACAGGAAATTAGAAAATAGGGAGCAAGACCTATTACATAGAAGAAATGAGAGTGTTTAAGAGGAATTATTAAATCGTTTTCTAGCCAGAGGGTCAAAAAAACTATAGTCGAGGGACATCTGAAGGCTGACTTGCACGTCCTGGAATCCAGTGAGTAGGGTGAAGGGATGGAGGAGGCAAATAAGATTTGTAAGGTTAAGGTAGAGGATCTCTATACTGAAGACTTCTTTTAGCTGATTCAGACCTGGTAAATAATTGTTATCCACTGAACTTGTATGTTTCCAAATTATGCAATAGTCTGTTTAAGATAATAAAACATTTCTGCTCAGGTTCAGATTTGACCAATGTATTACAGATATTTCAAGGAATTTTGGTATGCTAAAGTACATATGATTATAGAGTTTTGGACAGAGAAGCCATAATCACTGTTTATTGGGTCAATTTCTTGCTTTTTCATTCAAATTTATGTTTTAGTTGAAGCAATGATTCTCATACCATCCAATAAATATTCCTGAGTAAATTTAAATTTTATAAGTATATTTACTGTCCATATGATTTTTTTCTTCTTACTGTGTTCTTAGGTATAATTAATTCATAATTTTTCCCTTTGGTGATGTGAATTTAGACAAGGGGCCTCTTTTGGTTCTTGCATTTTGGATCTGATAGACCCATGTACATTTGTCTTTTTTTCTTTTCTTCAACCGTGCTATTTAAAAATACACTCTATTTCTAAGAAAACAGCTGTTGCCTTTAAGGCAAATGCTTGTATAGCACTGTGGACATTAGAATGGAGATAAATTACCTCATTAGTAGAATGCACCTCTCCTCAAGGGAACAAACCTGAGGATTATATTTTTGGCATATTTTGAGAAAGTCTTAACACTAGCAGATATCCTGATTTATCTCATTGATACTATGATTTATATCTTTTTAAAAAAATCTTTTTGATATGCGTTACTTGCTTGAGCATGTGATATTTTGGTCTGCATTTAGCAAATAATTTCTTTTTATTCAAAAGGTTTGAGTTATAATGCTTTTATTTTGGGAGAGGGAAAGAAGCCTCATTGAATGTGTGCATTATACATGTATTAAAATAGGAGAAGTCTCAGGATAAGAAAATTGGCTTTGGAACTGTCATGTTGTCAGTCCAACACTTTGCTGCATTATGCTTTTGTTGTTGATTTCTATCCTCTTTCTCTCCAGGCTGGGAAGTGACGATACCCGTTTTGAGGTGAGCATGGCCAACGATGGATGTGAAGTGCACCGTTTTGATCCTAGTGTCAAATCGGCTCACATTCTGGAGAGTCAGCGCCTGTGGTATCACCGCCTGTCCATAGATTGGCGGGATCCTCATCCAGCTCTTGCCGCCCAAAAACCATACAGCACCACCAGAAAACTGGGAAGTATTTTGAATGAATTTGGGCATCACAAGGTGAGATTTTCATTTGATTTCATAATTAAATAAACTGATCAAACCCATAAATACTTTAAAAAATGCAAACCAAGGATAACAACATTGACCCTGGAAAGTTGAAGGCCCAGTTTTAATCTTCCTGATGGCCCAGCATTACAAATAGAGCAAACCCTCTAGATATAAATTTGTTTAAATTGATTTAAAGACTTTAGGTGCTATTGAATATGTTAAGATCTTGGTCAAGACTGGGCAAGACTAAGAAACCTACTTCTAGCTCAGATTGAAGAATACTATTTCTGTTTAGGAATTGATTTAGAATTCCAGAAAGAGCAAACTACTTATGTCAGCCTCAAATACAAAAAAAAAAAAAAAAAAAAATCAGCCATTTTTGTGTTTGATAAGAGATTACATGTGTGTAATATTTCTCATATTTATAACATGTTTCTCACTATTTTCAGCCCGTAGTCTGGGCTCTTAACATTCAGAAAATATGTGTAACTTTGATTAAAATTTGCTTTATAAAGTGGAATGGACTTTTTATGTGTGGCAATTAACATAATTATGTCAAATCTCTGGCAATATTTTATTGTGAATGGACAAAAAAAGAAACTCAATCTTTGAACTGTATTTCTTGAAAGCAAATTGTACCATAATATGTATCCCTGAGCTAATTGCTTTATCCCTGCTAGAGAAGTCCTGAATGCAGCTGATTTGTGTCTGATTGCCAGGCCTTGGACTTCATGGTGTGTCCTTCCTAGCCAGAGATGTCAGAAAATTTAGAGCTTGTCAGAATGGGTGTCTATCTGAGAAACAAGGCATCTGGGACTTAACTTTAAACTTAAATTGGCTTCTTGGTCTTTAATAAAAGGGCTTTCCTTCTGTATTGTTCTTTCTCCTCCTTTTCTTTTTAAAACTCCCTTTAATTAGATAGCTGAAGCTTCTTAAAGAAGAGCTTCAAAGAATTTACTGTTCTTTTAACATGCAATTAGCTTTTGATTTGTATTTTGCTTTCCCATCCAGAGTAACTAGCACTTAATAGTCAGGTACTTTAGGGAAAAGAAAAATTATGAGAAAAGAAAAAAGTGGAAACAAAGTCTATGTAAATGGGGAAGGGTGCACAGGTAATGGGGAAAAAATAAGAACCAAGATACATCATGTACAGGTACAAGCACCCAGTGATAAATGTAAACGTATTGTATACCTAAAATGTACCAATAAAAGAATTTAAGCAAAAAAATAGGCACTTTAATAAAATTTACATAGGATTTCTTTGGGTAAAAAATCTCTGAACAGAATACTTTTTTATGTTATTAATTTTTAAATAAGTGAAGGAAGAACCGGAAGCATTTTTCAGAAATAAATTATTTATTGTTACTTGTTACCTTGGTAGAGTTTTTTTATTTTTTACAGCCTGAATTACAAGCCTGATTCTCTAATATGCCAGCTCTATTTAAGAGCTGATGCTTATCCTTTGTGTTCAGTAGAGAGCCTTGATTACTTCCGGCCTGCTTCACTCTTACTCTTCCAAGAAAAGGCTGAGCAGGGAAAAGAGACAAAATTCCAGGCCATTTTGTGTTTTTCAGTGTTTTAGGAAAAAATTTGCTAAAGGTGAGGATAAAATAAGGCTTTGAAAAAGTGATCTGTGGGTAGATTTATCTAAGCACATTTCCAAGAGAGCAGGTGTTTTGGAATAACAAGGTACAAACTTGCAATGTATTTGTTTAGCAACCTGGGGAGCTGCAGGAGGCAAATCTTTATGCTGAAGATAAAGCTTGAAGCTTTTTGCAGCACTGCCCCTGAGATAGTAGAAATATTTACAAAGACAGCTGAAAAGGAGAAATACCTTAAGGACTCTTATTTTTATTAAAAACATTAATAACAATGAAAGTGATCTGGCTTAGAATTGCTGGGTATGTATTTGCTACTTTAAATAAATTCCTTGTTGAAGAATTTAAGAGATACTGATATTCTTTCATGGAGTTTTGGGTAAATTCTTTAAAACAAAACCAACAAAAGCTAAACCCATTGCTAAGTAATGGAACAACAAGGAACATGCTTCTAGGAGCTGCAGCAATGCCAGATAAAAAGAAACCTTGTTTATGCCTGCAGCAAGCACAGTCTGTTTTCATTTTCCTGCACGTGTGCAGACAGTGGTAAATAGGACGGGACTGTGACAGGGAAGGCAAATGAAACAAAACCCTAAAAAAAGTCAATTCTTTTGCTTTGCCTTCTTTACTACTGATTCTGAAAGTGACTACAGAAACCAAAGCAATATAAAATTTTTTCTCTATTACTATAAAATATCTCATATAGTTTTGCAATAATCTCCATGTCCTACTGTTATTTTTCTTCTTTCCTTTGTGGAAACCAAGATTCCAGTCACTCAAGCAAAAAGTGTGGGAAAAAATGAAGGCAGTATTCTGAGATAATGACAGAAAGATGCATATGGTTTTTGTACTGCTTTTAAAACTCTTCGCTAATTTTAACTTCAGCCTATAAATTTAAAAAACCTTTCTCCAGCATTAAGCAGGAGCAGCTGCATCAGCAAAACCATGTGAACAAGCATCCCAGTCTGTCAGGGAATAATATCCCCTGGATCCAGCATTATTGAGAATGATTAACTGTCTACTCCTTGCTTAAGTGGTTGCTACTATTAACTAAGCATACAGATTTTTCCAGAATGCATAGAAAGATTGAATCTGAATTTTCTGCTTGTATTAATCATAATGTATACCCTAGAGTCTTTATTGTATAGTTAGTCTTCTATGAGTTAATGATTCAGGCTGGTTAATAAGAAATTATAACTATTACCGTTATTTTCAGTCTTATCTACACTGCTGATAATATGAGAGTTTACTTTTGTGAACCCATTAACGTAGAGTTTTAAGCATGTGTCTTCTTATTAGCATTTGGCATTGGGCAAAATCAAAACAATAATGATGCCCAAACTGTAGCTTGTTTTGAGAATTAGATCTGAGAACACAGCAGAAAGCCTAGCCTGAATTCATCACTCAATTGTTTTTAGTAAATTCAAATTCTTACCAACAATTTCAGTAACCTTTTACTAAACTTGATAGAAATTGTTTTCTTTTTTCTTTCTTTGTTTTCAGGGTAAATATATTAGAGAGTTCTCTGGAAATTTTGAACTGCACCTGTTATGGTTTCTATCTAGAACTCATGTGCTCACACAGGTGGGGCCTGTGTGCCCCTCTAGCCTCATGTGCTCACAGGTGAGGCTTTGGGAAGGTGATTAGATCATGGGGCCATGTCCCTCATGAGTGGATTAGTGGATTATTTCACTGATGAGTTTATAGATAAAGGTGAGGTTGGGAGGTGAAGCCTAGTTGGAGCAGGGTCACTGGAGGCGTGGCCTGGAAGGGTCTGTCCCCCTCTCTTGATTGATCACTGTTTGCTTCCTGCTACCATGCCATGGACTGTTTCTCCTCTTCCACATCTTCCATGCCACCCTGTCTTGGAGTCAGCAGACTATAGACTGAAACCCCTATAAACTGTACGCTAAAATAACCTTTCCTCCTTAGTTAAGGGTGATGAGAAAGTAACCAAGAGAGCACTTAATTCCAGTCAAGAGATTCTAATGAAAGCTTTGCATGAAAATGAAAGGCAATTGGTCCTTCAGAAGGGGTTGTAAAAGAATTATTATTTGCTGCCTCAGGACATGGAACAGCTTTGCTGATGATTGTATACAAAACACCTACTTAGCTGTATAGAAATTAAATACGCTGCTCAGAATTAATTGGAATATGTTCCATATGAGCAGTGGGGGGCTGGGGCTCAGTGGTCAGATGCCCCAGGGAAATGAGCTTCCTGCCTGTCAGCTCCAGGTCTTTTCCCTCCATTATTCCTGTCACCTTTGGTTTAGGCTCAGTGTCCCTCTGGGCCCTGACAACTCTACAGTTTCTACCTCCCTGGGCGGGGAGTGGGCCATTGACTTCAAAGTATTGTTGTGTGGTCTCTGCTGTGTTTGAGAGAATATGGGCTTTGAAATTAAACTAAAAAGATCTTTTCTTTTTGCTTATCAAATTGGTAAATGAAAGTAAGTTACTGATACTATCCTATGTTGGAATGTTGATTGGATATAAAAGTCAGCCTTTGCTGCTGGAAATAGAAAATGATAGACTTAGGAAGGAAATTTGGCCATGTGTATATATCACTTTTTATTACTAGAAATCTTTTTGGCCTTAAATTCTCCCCCCCCCCCCTCTGCCTTTCTTCTTTCTTTCTTGTACTGGAGATTGAACCTAGGACCTTCACAGTGAGCTATGTCCACGGCCTTTTTAATACATTAATTGGTACATTTTAGGTATACAGTACATTTGCATTTATCATTGGGTGTTTGTACCTGAACATGATGTATCTTAGTTCTTATTTTTCCCCCATTACCTGTGCACCCTTCACCCCCACCACCCTTCCATATTAACATAGACTTTGTTTCCATTTTTTTTTCTTTCTCATAATTTTTCCTTTCCCTTCTTCCTTTTCCCCTTCCCCTCCCACCACCCCTACCCCTTTGGACTTTTTCATATTTCAAATTATCAATTATTCAT